TTTTCCCCCAATTTTCCGTAAATCAAACTTTCTATGATTGTTTGAACATCATTTTTGTGGGGTTTACTTTGCCCTGTCGAATGGTATTTTCCATACATTTTTTTACCCATCACTCAAATATGAGCAACATGCATCAGTTATGAAGAAAAGACGCAAGAAAGTGAGATACCCCATTTTCTCATCTGCGAACGTGAAAATTTTGTTTTTTCTTTCAAAATCTCAAAATGGCAGACCAAATGTTCATTGTTTCCTAAATAGAGAAAACTTGTGCGTATATGGAAACCAACTTACTCATCTCTACATGCGTCACAGAATGAAAACGAAGCTTAAAAGGACAAACAGGGTTGTTTCTAGCTATATTAAGGCACTTCCTTTACTGATAGTAGAAGACAGAGTAGTCGATACTTTGAACTATATCCCTCAAAAAATCATGGATATTTCATCCACATTCACATGCCAAAACGAAATTACTTAGTATTGAGTAAAGTTGAAAACTTCAAATTTTACTGCATGGAAGATTATGTGAATATTTAGTTAAACCATGTCTAAGTTCATGAATGTCTGCACTATGTCGCAGACATCTTAGGTGTTACCTAGGCTTGTTATCAATTTTTAATATATTCGTGCCGCATTAGCATGCTTTCGTGTCATCCCTAGTCATCCAATCGACAGCCGTCATGGTAAGTTAACTCTGTATAAATATGACCATTTTACATTTTACTTATTTTCGCTTCTTTTTATATGATTTGAACTTATTGCATTTTTGCAGTTCGGCTGGATCCACGAAAGTCTTCGTCAATTAGTGAATAGAAAATATGGCAGAGAAGTCTGGCGAAAGATTCTGTAAGTGCATGGCCCATTTCATAGACTATACCTTGGGCTTTACCACAACCGTCAAGGAAACAAATGAAATTATTCTAGGATGATCAGATTATCTTAGTGTGTATAATCTGTAAAAACGTATCGTACAATGTTTATTAGGCATAGAAGCTTTTTACGAACTAATGACTTCGAAAATCCCTAAGTCTAAGCCACAATTTTCATGGAAGTACACAGTATTCGCGCAGCCTCGCTAATACAAGAGATCCAAACAAAAAAACTAAATTTTAAGCGTCTCCTAGTTCTTCTTGAGTAGTAACAGTTGAACACCGTAATCAGAAAACGAAAATAAAGCCATTTCATGGCTTTTATGTAAATTTCCAGCGAAATGGCAAAATTTGAAGAAGGCACAGAAAGCGAAATCGCTCACTACTACAATGATGTCGAAACAATGAGACTAGTGAATTCGATGGCAAGCATAATTGGTAAGTGGTTTATTATCTCTCTTTTGTGTTTGAACGTTTTCATTTTGAGGTATTCCCGTCGAAGAGGTTTGGGAAGCTTATGGTGGTTTCCTCATTCAATTCACCATGGAGACAGGATGGGACGAACTATTGCGCGCGATGGCCAGCGATCTCGAGGTATACGTCGTGCATATTTGAGCGTACTTTAGCATACTTGATGCATTGCGTTGCGAAATAGTAATATTAGACAAAGTCAACATCTTGGTGCTGGATGTCTGGCACTATGCACCTCCGGTGATCCAAAATTTGAAGCATAAAATTTCGTAAAAACAGATATTGTTCAACAATGGTATTGATTCTGTATAGTAAGGCCTCGTTGCTGAGGTTACAACTGGTACATGGGTGAAGTTTCTTGATTTGCTGAAACGTGGGTTATCGGGCATGTTGATCAGACTTCTACCGCACACCTACCGCATATCGCACACTCAAGGCAAATTCATCGAAGCTTTTCCTACCATGCCGATTGGCATGCTATGCGGCACTTAGATTTGCACGGAGACATTCAGTAAGAAATAATTTTCAGGGCTTTCTCGATTCGCTTGACTCGCTGCATTACTTCATCGATCATGTTGTCTACCAAACAAAACTGCGTGGTCCATCGTTCCGATGCGAGGCACAGCCAGATGGAACGCTGCTTCTTCACTACTATTCAAAAAGAAGTGGACTTTATCCGATCGTTAAAGGTTGTTATTGACATAACTCGCGTAATAGTCTCCAAAGAGTCTGCTAACAAGGGAACGACACTTAGTGTGCGTAGCCTTTTGAGAAATGTA